TGTGTCTGTGTCTGTGTGTGTGTGTGTGTGTCTGTATGTGTCTGTGTCTGTGTGTGTGTGTGTGTGTCTGTATGTGTATGTGTCTGTGTCTGTGTGTGTGTATGTGTGTGTGTGTGTCTGTGTGTGTGTGTGTGTGTGTGTGTGTGTGATGCTCATTTGGACCATTATTGAGTCACTGACTGAGGAGGTGTTGGTTCTTTTCACTTTATTTTGGATGAGGGCGAGAGTGTTGAACTCGTGTCTCTTTTGCCATCTCCCCCAGACCCAACTGACATTCGTGGGCTGTGTGGGCATGCTGGACCCCCCCAGGAAAGAGGTGATCGGCTCCGTGCAGCTGTGCCGCGAGGCGGGCATCCGCGTCATCATGATCACGGGCGACAATAAGGGCACCGCCGTGGCCATCTGCCGGCGCATCGGCATCTTCGGCGAGGACGAGGACGTCGAGGGCAAGGCGTACACGGGCCGCGAGTTCGATGACCTCAGTCCTGAGGTCCAGCGAGAGGCCGTCAAGCAGGCCCGCTGCTTCGCCCGTGTGGAGCCCGCCCACAAGTCCAAGATTGTAGCGTACCTGCAGTCCTTCAACGAGATCACAGCCATGGTGAGTGGCCAGGCGGTGACGGGCATAGCCTCACACACATGCCATCCTCATAACCATGCTGAATAAACGTTACATTTATTTAACGAGGTTCAAGATACCAAAGTGTTTTACAGAAGCAATAGGGAGCCACTTCAACCACCACCACTGTGTAGCCCCCACCTGGATGATGTGACGGCTGCCCTTCTGCACCAGTACGCTCACCACACAGTAGCTAAGGCCAGGTTTTAAAGGGCCACAGAGGACAATTTTAGCCAGGACATCAGGGTACCACCCTTACTCTTTCGAAAGATACCCAGAGATCTTTTATGACCTCAGAGAGTCAGGACCTTGGTTTTATGTCTCATCTGAAGGATGCTGCCATTTGTACAGCGCAGTGTTCCCATCACTGCACTGGGATCCACACAGACCATAGAATAGGCTTCCCTTGTTGGCCACACTAACTTCTTTTCCAGCAGCAACTCAACTTTCCTAGTTGTTTTCCCATCCAAGTTCTGGCCAGGTCCAAACCTGCTTAGCTTCAGATGGGTTACCTAGTCTGAACAGCAGGTGGCATGACTACTGACATCTGTATTGTGTGCAGGATTAGGCGTCTGCTCAATAGCACATTGCATTAGACAGTGAACAAAGCCATAATCTAACAGCTAATGACATGGGTGAAAGATGGATGGATGGATGGATGGAATAGTACTGCACTCTGGGACAGTATGCTAGATGGACGTACCCCAGTGTTTATCCAGGAGGAGGCTTTAACAAATTAAAGACAACCTTTTTGTTTCCTTAAATGTGTTGTTTGTTAAATATGATGAATGATATATCAACATGACCCTGTACTAGATGTGCAGTGCAGAAGATGGATGACATAGGACATGGCAGATATGGTATGATTGGTGCCCCCCTCCTGACCCCCTGTCCACCCCCCCCCCACCCCCCCAGACAGGTGATGGGGTGAATGATGCCCCCGCCCTGAAGAAGGCAGAGATCGGCATCGCTATGGGCTCGGGCACCGCCGTGGCCAAGTCAGCCTCTGAGATGGTGCTCTCTGATGACAACTTCTCCACCATCGTGTCGGCCGTGGAGGAGGGCAGAGCCATCTACAACAACATGAAGCAGTTCATCCGCTACCTCATCTCCTCCAATGTGGGCGAGGTGGTCTGGTGAGGGCTCCCCACCGTCCTGCTCACCAGGGCCTGCAATGGATGGAAGGTTCCTGAAGCCAGAACTCTGTCACGCCAGTTCCCCTATCACTGTCTGGAATGAGAGGATTTGAGGGCCTAGTTCTCCCTCTGGGTTTGTAAGAAGGTCTGTTTGAGATGTCCATAGTTAGGCATGACCAGGCTGTACGTTAAGACCCCCACCAAGGCAGAAAGTGTTTCTCAGGACCAATGACTACTGTGGATTGTGAGAAGCCCCCCGATGCTTATGTCCCCCCCCTCCCCCCGTCTCCTGTGACACCCCCCACAGCATCTTCCTGACTGCCATCCTCGGCCTACCTGAGGCCCTCATCCCCGTGCAGCTGCTGTGGGTGAACCTGGTGACGGACGGCCTTCCGGCCACCGCCCTGGGCTTCAACCCCCCCGACCTGGACATCATGGACAAGCCCCCCCGCAACTCCAAGGAGCCCCTTATATCTGGATGGCTCTTCTTTAGATACCTAGCTATCGGAGGTGAGGTCCTGCGTGGCAGCGGGGGTGCGGGACCCCCCAGGACTGCTGCCTGGGGTGGCCATCACAATTGGGGGGTGTACAGAAATATCGTTTTTCTCGATTTGTCCAACTCGATCTCGATCTGTAAAATTTATGGATCGATCTTTCAGGTTAATATGCATTTTTTTAAAAAGTTTTTCTAGTTTCTTTTCCATGATGGTTAAATCGTATTGCGGCACATATTTCAGTGCCACTTAAATGTCTGAGTTTATTTTTGCCCTCTGGCAACAGAAGCATCACTACACCTGACAGGCCCTGATGTTAGCATATGGCTACCGTTAGCTAGTAGCTACCTTAAACACAGTTAAAATGCCTAAAGCTGAACGATCTGAAGTATGGCCGTATTCCACTAGAGTGAATTCCGACACTGGGACATTACGTAATCTTGTTAATTTTTGTTTTTATTTATATACTTGACCCTTATGTACAGACCTCGAGCCGCTAGTAAGCCGGAGGATATCAGATCTGACTTTTTTTCCTCTGCTTTTTTGTGTTGTTCCAGTGCAAACAAAAGAAATGAACATGTCGATACCACAGTCCTCTGGGAGTTGTGCTAGATTTTGTGAAGGAAGCGCAGGGATGCCAGTATTTTTGGCCTTACCTGTACATGGCCGTTTAATTAGGCACTATCAGAACATCCGTGTGGACCTTCATGCAAAAAAATGACAACCTCTGATTTATTTTTCGTCACATGTGTTAAAGTTAAACTCCTTCTGAAACATGGCATGCAAGTTTTAGACTTTCACAATTTTTTTCCAACTATTATTTTTAGTTTTTTGCCTTGAAAGACAGATTGGTTTAGTTTCTCAGGAACTATACTACTGTGTTGCTCAAATCGAATGAATTTGGTGTATTAGCCTGTGACCTTCATTTGTGCTTTTCACAGTTTGCTTCCAGTGACTCCTTTTCTAATTTTGTGCTCCATTTAGACCTTTTTACGCATCTCTCCAAATATGGAACGCTGTTATATAGTATTTCACATCTCATTCCTATCGAACTGATATTGAAATGGAATCAAATCGTTAGCTTGTGAATCAGTATCTAACTGAATTGAATGGGGGCATCTGTACCAATGCCCCGCCCTAGTGACAATGGCGTCCTCTTGCCCCCACTGCAGGGTACGTGGGCCTGGGGACTGTGGGTGCCGCTACGTGGTGGTACCTGTTTGACGAGGAGGGACCTCAAGTGACCTTCTATCAGCTGGTAAGGGTGAACCCCTCATGGCTTGAGTGTACCGGGTCTAATTACTGTGACTGTAAGAGGAATTTCTGGTCACTCAGTGCTCCGCCTGTGCTTTGTGGCTCTGATTGCGAACCCCCCCCCCCCCACAGAGGCACTTTATGCAGTGCACCGACCAGAACCCCATGTTCTCTGGCATCGACTGCGAAGTCTTCGAATCCCGCTACCCCACCACCATGGCTCTCTCTGTGCTGGTTACCATAGAGATGTTCAACGCACTAAACAGGTAGGTGCAGAGGGCGCCCCCTAGCTGACAAGGACCGCTCTTACCATGCCGGGCTCCTCCTGGAGCCTTAGGTCAGGCTAGAAAGCAGGAGGGGCTGGGACTCCTATGAGTGGCACACCATGTCCTGGTCACGTGACGTGGCTGGGATCAGCTTGCCGAAAAGCAGCCCTGACTTTAGTGTTTTTGAAGAACAAACATTGGCAGTGTTACTCATTAATAAACAATCGCTGTTCTGTAAGGTCAAGGATTTAAAATAAACAAATTACACATTAGTTTACTGGGTACTCCTTTACCAAGTTATTTTGGAGGTCGAAAGTGGGTCCTACATGGTCCTAGGTAGCTAGGGGTACCTAATAAAGTGGGTCCTACATGGTACTAGGTAGCTAGGGGTACCTAATAAAGCAGGTCCAACATGGTACTAGTTAGCTAGGAGTACATAATAAAGTGGGTCCTACATGATACTATGGTATCCACTCCCCGCAGCCTGTCGGAGAATCAGTCCCTGCTGAGGATGCCTCCCTGGGTGAACATTTGGCTGCTGGGAGCCATCATCCTGTCACTGTCACTGCACTTCCTTATTCTCTATGTGGAGCCGCTGCCGGTGAGTCTCCCGATTGGGGTAGCAGAGGCTTGTCCTTCCTTGTGGAGGGGAACCGTTCAGTCATAATTACCACCCTTTATATCAGTCTGCAGTCTAGTTTTGAGAAACACATGGAATACACCTGCCCAACTTGCTTTACAGAGGCTCGCTTTACAGAAATCTGTCTGGATATTTTGAACAGAAGAATTGAAGCTTGGTCTGTTTTAATCAGGAAGTGCTTATTTACCAACTTCCTGTGCAGATCTGTCAGGGCTCCAGGTTTTCTGCAGGTTCATAGAACCTGGCTGCTGACTGATAGGCCTATGGGCATGTGACCTGCAGTCTGATAGGCCTATGGGCATCTGACCTGCAGTCTGATAGGCCTATGGGCATGTTACCTGCAGTCTGATAGGCCTATGGGCATGTGACTTGCAGTCTGATAGGCCTATGGGCATGTGACCTGCAGTCTGATAGGCCTATGGGCATGTGACTTGCAGTCTGATAGGCCTATGGGCATGTGGCCTGCAGTCTGATAGGCCTAACTTTGACTAACTTTGTCCTCTGCTTTGCTGTCTCCCTTCCTAGCTGATATTCCAGGTGACCCCTCTGTGTCACTCTCAGTGGATTGTGGTCTTGAAGATCTCCTTTCCTGTTATCCTTCTTGATGAGGCCCTCAAGTACATCTCTCGCAACCACCTCGAAGGTAAGGCTGCCCATCCCTCGTGTTTCTGCAAAGGCTGCACTGATCTGTTCTGCGTGAGCCATGAAGCATGTTGGCTCTATCCAGCAGAACCTCCCCTGATGGTAAATAGCAGGATTAGCTTTGCGGTGGACTAGCTTAGCCTGGAGTGTAGCGATTAGATCGCATGACCAGTTGTGACACTGTCTGTTTGCTCTCTCCTGTTTTTCTTTTCTGCAGCCTAACCCTCCTCCTCTTGCCTGCCACATTAAGGTATATCCTTCCTTTCTTACTCTCCCTCTCTCTATCCACGGCTACTGCATACAAGGCCACTCTTTCTCAGGCTAAAACAACCGCCATAATGGCTCCTTCTGGCTCCCACGAAAGCCATCTCTCTCTGGCCCCGTGATGGCCAGTCCCGTTTGCCACCTGAAACCTGCATCCACTAGCAAAGCAGCTGTTTTTAAGCTTGTCTCACTGCCACGGCTTATTTTCCTGGTTGGAGCCATCACCTCAAATGACATTGGAGCCAAATGCAAAAGGAGCGCCTGTTTTCGTGAATTTCAGTCCCTCTTTCTGATGGCCCGCTTTGCTGAGGGTTTGCCTGGTTTCCCTGGGCAACCAAGAGCAGCCAGTAACATGGATTAATGGAGGCGTTGGTGGTGACATAGCGAGCTTTGAGCCAACACCGAAAGGTGGATTGTTAGTTTCAGTACCGTGTGACCGATGTGGCCCAACCCTGGCTTCTGGCAAACTGGATGCCGGTCACGGGTTCCTGCGAATATTCATCAGTGATACTCGGCATCTGCTGCCAATGACGTATTGTAGGTCTTTGTAGCTAAAATGATAAAATTAACACGGAATAATGTTTTTTTTTTTTCTTTAGTGGTAGTGAAAAATCCCACCCGCCGCTTAAGATTGCTGTCATTTTAAGATTTTTCATAAGTACTAGACAATAATAGCTTGTTTGTTTTATGCTTATCGTTCACAAAAAAGTAACTACCTGCCTTCCAATATAGGGCTCTTCTGTGCCAGAGAGCGGAGACGACACATTACAGTCACAAAACATTTTCAGCAAGTCGTTTTAATTGTGTTCACATCTAGGTGGTTAAACCTGCTTGCATGTGACCATTTTTTGCTAGTAAGTTAAATATTTGTTTATACACACGGAAAATGGTTTCAATGGTAAGGGCAAACATCCTGCGTCGGTGCACAAGATTCTAAATATCAGACTAGATATTATAGTTCTCTGTATATTAATATATAAATGTAATGGATTGTGTGTTATTTCTTTGAGTCTCCTCACCACATTGCCAGCCACCGGGGCCTTTGTGTGAGAGCCTTCTGTGAGAGCCTTTGTGTGAGAGCCTTCTGTGAGAGCCTTTGTGTGAGAGCCTTCTGTGAGAGCCTTTGTGTGAGAGCCTTCT